AGAAAGTGTAGCGCCTTCGCCTGTCTTCCATCCTTCGAGTCGAGGAGCAGCTATTTGTAGCCAACGGGGATGCACGGGATTCTTCTAGAAAGAAGAACGGTAAGGCTTTGGATTGTCGAGTGGCCTTGCTGCGGTTGCTGCTGCTGAATGTCTTTCGACACCATCAAAACACGGAATGGGCCAAGGTGTGTCCTCACCGGCTGGCCAGCAAAGACGGCAATGTGTTGACGGTGCGCTGCTCATGTGCAGATGGTCTGATGTCGTCTACTGCTGACAGCGGTAGGTTGATCTGGTCTTCAATGGAACACCTGCAAGTAAGACCAGCATCACCAGCAGCACAGGTGCACCTGGAACAGTAATAATGTCAGAGAACACCAGCCTTGTTCATGTGCGAGCTGACCCTTCTGGGGCAAAGGGCTCGGATTTTCTTTGATACTCGGCAATGGATTCGAGGACAGTGTTGACTTAGTGGTAGAGCTAAGCCCTTACACACACACACACACCTGCTTTGAGAAACACTGGCTGAAGTGTACTTTGGGCTGAAGCTTTTTGAGTTTATGACGACCTCTGCCAGGTCAGCTGCAGCGTGCCTGCTTTTGAAGCCTCCACAGTTCCGATCAAGGTGCCCGTCTTCAGTGGGTTCTCACTCTCGCTCTCCCTCTCTCTCTCCCTCTCTCTCGCTCCCTCTCTCTCTCGCCTTGCCCGAGTGTCATGTTTGGCATGAGGGGAATGTTCGGAAAGGTTGATGAGATTTAGGTCTGGGGCTCACGGGCTGAAGGTCAACCGGGTCCCAAGGACTCTGGGCTTCAAAGCAGTTGTTCACCTTGGGTGGCAGACATGTGGACCCTCTTTGCCTTTGAGTCTCCTGAGTGCAGCTTTGGTTGAGGAGGAACTTGCGAACGTGCCCAGGTGCGGATCCTCCCTCTCGGCTACACCCGCTTCCAAGAGGGCCTCGGGGAGTTCTCGTCCGGGAGCTCGGGCTCAGGGCTGCCGAGGGCTGCAGATTGCCTCACCTAAGGGCCTAGCAATCCGGAAGTCTGAATGCAAGCGACCGAATCTGTCAGCCTCAAGGTTTAGGGTTTTTAGGGTAGAGCCTTGAGAATACTTGGCACGGTTCCTCTTGTCTGGGCTGATGATCCTGTTTTCGGTGGTTCTTTGTGATTTGGGTTTTGGTGTGGGGGGGGGGGACCGCCAGGCCAGCATGACGGGGGGATGTTCCCGTTATTCCCGTGATTAAAGGGGCTCCGGGCCTCAGGGAACCGTAGCGCCAGCAGCTTCCCTAGTAGAGAGTGCAGGGGCCGCTGAGAAAAGAATTCAGAGTCCCGGTGATGGGACTCAATCCTCTCTCTGCAGCTCTTTGAGCGCTCCGCCTGTGGCCACAGCTGAGCTTGGAATCCCCAACCTTGACATGAAAGGAATGGACCAAGGGACTCTTCGACTCAGAAACCCCAACCGGTCCGAACGATGAGCGACGTGAGCTCCGAGCAACAAAGCAAACACAGCCGCCAACCCTGACCTGGCACCTTAAATAGGCAGAAGCTCAAAGACACCGACAAGCTGACCCCGAACCCCGAACTTCTTAGCATCCTCAAGGCCCTCAACTTCAACAACTTCCTCAACCCCGAAGCCGCCATGGAGCCGCTGCTGCCCAGCTCGCCCAGCTCGCCCAGCTCGGGCACCTCGGGCTCCGCCTCGCCAAAGCCGCAGGCCGACCGTGCTCTCTGGACGTGCCTGGGCGGCCATGGGCTGATGGGCCTGCAACGGTTTTCGAAGATTTGGACAAGATGCTCACTTAGAATCTCCAAAAGATGTTCTATCAGGCCTTCTACCGGGCTCGGAGATGGGGCTTCCAGCAGGGGCGCAGGTGTAGGCATTGTTGCGGGCTATAGGGCGCAGGCGCCAGGTTGGGATCAGGGTTTGAATGTGGGGGTACTTGTAGGTTTGGATTGGACTCCCGGGACTTTCGCTAAGTTCCTCTCGCCATGCCTGGACCCTAAAATTCCCTATAAACCCAATCTACTTCCCAAACCCTACAAACCCTAAAACCCTAAACCCTCCAGAATCTCCAAGAGGCTGGGACTCTATGCCGCGGTGGGAGCTATAGGCTCATGGCCTGTTCTTCACCTCGGAATCGATGGTTCGCAGGAGTCTCTCGGGCGAAGCCACTGTGCGGGTCGAAGGATGACGGGTTTAAGGCGAACTCAATATAGCCAGCCCTAATCTTGTTGACTACTGAGCTCTAAAGCACCCCAGTGCACTTTGAGAAAGGTTCATGCATGGGGCCTGGTGCCGGGGTGCAGGCATCAGCTACGCCATGCTTGGCCCGACGCTGCTAGGCTGGCTTTTTGCTGACTGGGGGGGGGGGAGCCAGCCCTACCCACACCTGCCATCATAACAGCATGTAAGGTGAATGATGAGATGGTAAGAAATCTTGGGGCTCTTGCCACCGTGGTTCCCGAAGTCCGTGCTTCCCCCCTGTGCAGCACAACTTCGAATCTAATCTAATCTCAGCTGCTACACCCTCTGCTGCACCCCTCTCCTATGAAGCCCTGTAAGCGCTAAATCTCCAACCAGCCGCGAGCCGCAGACCTCACGGAGCGGCTGGAATGCTCTCAGAGCCTTGCGGCGCTGCTCTTCTCCGCGCGGGCAGGTGCTCCGGCATTGAGGGGCAGGACCCATTTCTTTACTTGTTCGCAGCTCCTGCGACAGCAGGTTCTTGCAGGGTCTTTGCAAAGGAGGCGCATTGGGCACGGCTTCAGTTCGTGAGGCGTGTTGGGGCTCGATGTGTGTGATCCTTTTTTCCTTCCGCTCCTTCACATGTCCGGAGCTTCCAGCTTCTTTGGTCACATGGAGTGCTGTACGATGGGTTCGCAAGTGGGCTGGCTGGCCTTAAGGGTGGCCTTTTGAGCTTAGTGCTCCGGACTTGAAGTTTCATCGGTCAAGAAACCCCCAATCCTTGTAGCGGACCCAAGCTTAAAAACCTTACCCAAGGGTTTCCGAGGTGGTTACTTACTCGGCTCCAGCCTGGGTGGTCCAATGGTGGACAAGCGGCCCGGCATCAGGTCTTTGGGTTGTTGTCGGGGTTTCGGGTTCTCCGTTTGGGGCTCAGGGTTTCGGGGTGCAAGGCTTCGGCCACAACCTTAGCACCGACCCGGGCGTCTGTAGCTTCAGCCTCCATGCTGCAGCATCGTTGCCAAGAAGCAACGTTGTGAAGGGGGGCTTCTGAGGTCAGCCAACCCGGCCTGGCTGTTGTTTCTTGGTGCGCCCGACATGGCTTTGGGTTACGGCTTGAGGCTGCCCTTGGGAGTTGCTAGGCCAGTGACCTTCTGACCTAGTGATTGGAGGTTTCAGCAAGATTTGAGCTTCAATCAGAACCCTTTCCCTAGCTCCTTCTGAAATGCACTGCAGGAATAGCCGCAGCTATCGTGAGCCGACCAACAGGAGGGCTTCAGGCAGTGGGGTTCTGACGTGGGTTCTTCTTTCTTCCCCTCGAAAATAAACACCACCAAGTCCATCACCTTCCAAAGGCCCGAGTCGGAAAGCCAAGAAGCACTTCACCCAGCCCTTCAGCTTGCCAGGCACCGCCGGGAGCGCAGTCGGAGCCGCTTCCGCCGCTAGGCCGAAGATATTCAGAGAGAGCGTCGAAGGCTGAGGGGCTATGAGAAGTTCAGGTTGTTTTGGTGACCTGTCGACAAAGCCAATGCAGAGGCTTTCTTGAAAGGTGGTGTGAAGGTGCTGTCAGGCATGTAGGTGGTGCTTGCAGTTTGGATGCTAATTGAGCTGGTATGCCGGCCCTGGTGGATCCAACAATAGCATGCAGCAGGCGCTTTGAGCACTTGGAGCTTAATGACCCTTTTGAGATCTGAAAGCCCCAACTTCTTGCAACTTGAACTAGAAACCGCGAACGCTCAACGCGGCTTAGGACTTGAACCTTTGTGTGCGAAGCCCTCCACGCGCTCGAAGCTCGAGGTGCCTTTCATTTGGCACCTTTCGCTGGCCTACATCTCACAGGCGCTCCAGGGAGTGCCTAGGCTCTGACCCATTGGAGTGTCTCGGAGATTCGGTCTTTTCAGGTGGGACGGCTTGGGGTTTTCGCGAGCTCATGCCAGCTCCCTTAAACCCTTCAGCCTAACAGCCAGGCTGCCGGTTGGGATGTGTCATTTGCACAACCCCTGAAGACTGAATTTCCCACAGAGAGCAAAAGTCCCATGTTGAGAAACGAGCCCAACTGGTCGCCCCGGGAAACGAGTCTGAAGACGAATCGTTGCTCAAAGGCAACCAGAGCACAAAGCCTTCTTGAGACCGCAGTGGCGGCCCTCAGGCACTTGCCCTAACCTCGACGTGGAAACCCGGCCATGTCCAGGGGTGCTTCAGACTCCAGGGGCCCTGGCGACGCTAGCGCCCCCCCTTCAGCAGGGGAACCCCCCCCCCCCTCCCCCCACTTCTCGGAGTTTGCTCGCAACAAGAGCGAAGCCTCGAAGCACCTGGAAGCGCTCAGGTCTGCATGGGCCTGCACCGCGGCGGCAAGACACGCAACCTTTGGGGTCTACAGGATGCAGTGCATAGGGTCCTTCGGTCCTAAAGGAGTTTCTCGGCTCAAGGTTTACAGCTTTTGGTGGCTCGGTTTCATGCGGGTGCATGGCGTGTGTAGTTCCTGCTGTGCTACCCTTCATCGGACCCCAAAAGCTGTCGAGATCCAGTGTTCCCGAAACAGAAGGAAGTCATGGTGGGGACAACGCTTGGTTTCCAGGACCACAAGCTGAAATCCGAACCTGCAGGGGACCAGAAGCCCGCGGTGAGAGTGAGGGGTTGTGAAGGGGTCTGTGCAGGGTGCATGGTTTTTGGTCCCCCCTCAATCAAGTTCATTGTCCACCCAACGATATGCAAATATTCGATTCGTCTTCTTGTTGCCTGATTGCGGCCCTTCGAACATTTTAAGCCTCGACACCTCGGGTAGACGCCGTCAGACTGTCAGGCTGGACACCGGTGGCAATGTGCTGATGCTGACTGTCTGGCGTGGCAGCAAGTATGTGAACGCAGCTGTGCACGGCCCCCCGTATCTGTTTTGTAGATTTTTTCGGGCAGTGGGTATAGAAGCATCAGCACGAGGGCGAATCCATGTTAAAGTGCGCCAGCAAGGCCGATAAAGACAGTATCCGATGGATTCTCAGCCAGAAAGCGCTGAAGAAGCGCACTTAAAAAGGTTTCCCTGAAAAAGAGGCTTCCACTTCCTCTTCGGACTCGGCGCCTTCGTCGCCCCGCTCTGCGTGGGCTTGGCGCTCTCGGAGGGCCGCCCAGCTGTGGAGGACGGCAGCCACTTTTTGGGCTCCGAGATTGGGGGCCCCTACTGTAGCATGTAGCAGAGCCCAGACCAACAGCACCCAGTGCTTCACACAGCTGCCTGATGCCTGATCGGAAGCTCCAACCCGAAGCGGACCTTCCGGAACCCACTTTACACTTTGAGAGTCTTTCGGTACACCTTTTGCTTCCGACCCTGAAACACCACCAGAGAAACCAGCAGCACCAAAGTGTAGATGCTGCAGCTGCTGCATCTGGTTATTCCATCCTTCCTGTGATTGCTCATCTCGGACTGAACTTGGTGATTGATTTTCATTTCGCAAGCCGTCCCAGGACTCGTCAGGGATGCTGGCTCGTGATACCCCTCCCCAAGCCCCCGAAGGAAAGGGTGCAACTGTCCAAGCCCGAAACCACGAGCAGTCGATTTGTTTGGGATCCGGGTGCCAGCCTTTGGGGAGGCCTGGTATTCGCCAAGCGCTGGCTTCCTACCCGCGATGCTGACGTTGGGGCGCCGGACCCGGGGGAAGAGTTCCTCCTCGCGGGAGTTGTTTCGGGCTAGGCTTGGGTGAAGCAAAGCTTCGGCGCAAGGTTGAGGGCTGCTGGGCACTCCGAGCTTAGAAGAGGGCTCCTGAGTCGACCCTAACCCTAACTTGTAGCTGCTGCATGGTGGGGCGTGGAAGTTACAGTGCAGGGTGCCTGGGGGTAGCAGAGGCAGCTGGAACCAGTGCACGACGAAGCCGATCAACTCGGAGAGTGAGTTGTTGCTGCATAGGACTAATGGGGTATCATATGGAGTTGCGGATGCCGGCTTTGAAGCAACTGTAACCGGCCCTTGTGAAGCCACTGCTCCTCCCAAACCTCCCGTAGACCGGCGGGGCTTGAAACTGAAAGCCGGCAAATCGAAACGGGGCACCCTCCACCCCGTCCCCCCCCATCCAAAACAAAAAGCACAGAACAAAGGTGAAGAGGAAACAGCCCACAGCTTAAAAACACCGTGTGGAGAGGCTGCTGGTCTCCCACGCGCAGCCCAGCACAAAATCGGAAGAGGGAGTTCCTGCTCCGCAAGTTGGGGGCAGGTTGGCATTGAGGGCCTGTTTTGTCTTTGATTTCTTTGGAGGGGTGAGGGCTGTGATGGGTTAGGGCTCAGCAGAGAGGCGGTTCACTTTGATACGGGAACTTGCCCTCTGAAAAGACCTGAAGGGCCGGTTAACACCAGGGAGCCAAAGAAGCGGACCAAACCAGAGGCCCTTGAAACGCCGGGCAACCCTTAATTAGGTGATGCCTAAACCCTTTTCACGCGAAACTCCCAGGAAACGAGTGGACTTCCGAAGGTGGTCTTGTGGACAGGTGCCTTCGGATGAGTCAAGGTTCATTGTAAGCCTATTTTGCAAAGGATCATCTGATGTTGGCACATGGGGTCTACCTGTCTTTAGCCGCTCGTGTGTTGGATGTGTAAGTTCTCTGAGTCTTCTTGATGGCGCGTAGGTCGTTCTAGGTCGTTTGGGGGGCTGAGGTGCTTGCAGTTGGGAGCCCGTTGTAGTTGTCTCATGCCCCAGCAGCATCAAGTCTATCTGCGCAGGTGTTTGCACCTTGCCTTTCCACACCTAGCAGCCCTACTTCGGTTATGGCTGGGATAGGCTCTCCAATGGCATGCCGAAAGAACAGGCCCAGCCTCGAAAATCCGCAGAGCCCCAACGCCGGACCACCCCAGACCCGTTTTGCCGCACTACGCCTGAACACATCGGAGTCTCCGAGTTTTAAGAATTTTCAATGTTCGAGAAAGCCGCCAAAGCATCGGAAGCCCTTGAGGCGCCTTCCTTCTCAGCTACGTCGGTCTGGAGGCCAGTATGGGAGGTTTGAGCTTGCTGGGGCCTGCGAAGAGTTGTGTTTTTTGCGGCTGTTTGTGTCAGAGGCCGCGGGCAAGAGCCCAAAAAAGCATCCTCCTGAGAACAGAAATTCACTCCTGGCAAGCTGCAGAACTTCAACATGAGGTGGCCTTTGGGGGCTACGTGGATGCCTTTGCAGTGCGGCATCTCCACGTTTCCAAGGTGGCGTTAGGGTTGAGCTTAGGCTTCAGGTTACCTTTGCAGGCAGGACACACCTGGTCACCTTGGGTTGAGATCAGTACGCCCAGCTCAGTCATCCAAAGTAAGCCGACAATGGCACTCGTAACCTTTTTGTGGCGAACGCTCAGGGCGGGTTCCCAAGCCCCGAAGTGCCCAGCCGCTTTGCTTCCCAACTCTCAGCCCACAAAAGCCCGCCTGCCACTTGCAGCCGTAAGCACTCCATGGCATGCAGCAGTTACGTATCGAGATTCTTTGCTGCAAACAGGTCTGGTCTGGTGGTTTAGTCCAGCTCGATCCGGCAAAGCCTTTCACTGCAGTAGCTCTTCAAAACTTCTGAGCTACAGCCCGAGACATCTGCGGATGGCTGGCCAAAGGCTGCCCCACGTAGGTGACAGGTGGAGGGACTTGAGGTTCAGGGTTTTGAGGGAATCTAGAAAACTGTAGGATTTGGTACGCGCGAACTCCGACCGGCGTGAATTATGCCGATGCCTGGCCTTCCTGCAGCCGACGTCGCCCCAATGCCGCGGATCCCTGCCGAAGTGACCAGCGAGGTGACTGGAGTGACTGGAGGACGCTCGGTGGAGCAGAGCTCTTCTAGAGAGAGAGGTCATGAGACTGAGGGAGCGCAGACAGGGAGCAAGGCAATGAGAGAGGCCTTCCCTTTCGTGCCACATACCTTTGTGCATGAAGGTTGTACATGAAGGTTCTGTAGAGGACTCAAGAGATGTCGACTTTCGGTCCTACGATTCACCCGAGGAGAGGATCCGCTCCTCCGGGGCGATCTACAGAGGCTGCTGCTGAAAGCTTCCAAGGGTTGTTCGAGCTTCAGGGGTTGTTCGGCTTCAGGAGCTTTAGGGTTTCCCTTCGGGTCTAGGGCTGGGCTTAGGGGGGGTTCTAGGGCCAAGACTTCGAACTTCTAACAGTGCATGGAAGTTCTGGGGCTGCAAGCTCGAGCGGCAGGGTTGGGTCTTTGGAGCTCTGGAGCTTCTGCCAGGATCCTGCAGTTCCAGAAGCAGTCTTCGGACAGCATGCTCCACCTCCAGTGGCAGCACTCAGCAGCCTGCCATGATCGTCGATTTTATAACCTTTGTTAAACCCTCCACTTTGCGGGGTGCAAAAGGCTGCAGCCTCCCAAGCCTCTATTTCGGCTTACACGGCCGTTTGCTTGTTACCAAGAACCATGCACACTTGCAGCCCTTGCAGGCTTGCATAGGGTTCAGGGTGTTTAGGGATTCAAAGCAGCAGAAGTAAAGTAGTTAAGAGGCTTTGTCCTGCTTTCGCACATTGCAGCGGGGTTCCGATCAGCTTTTCTTCAAGCGGCTCTCTCTGCCCGCCTCTCTCTGCAGCTAGAGCCCCAAACAAAATCGTCCGCCCGAAGTCCAGGTCCCTGGTTTCAGGTGTCACCAGCGATTTTCCGTTTGAAGTTCAGGGCTTGCAGGGGCCAGTGGGCAGTTTTGCCGTTTATTTCTTATGCATGTTATGGTAATCGGACCCGAAAAGTGTGCGCGAGCTTCTTGACTTGGGGCGCTTCACACCGTTTCATTCCACATCCCAGAGCTTCACCGCCCGCGCCCGGCTATGTACGAAGGGTCCGAAGCCGAGAGCAGATGCGGCCATAACTACTGTACCATGGGGGTTGAGAAAAAATTGCTTTCGCTGCTCTTGGTGCCAACATCCTGGACCCTTCTTTTCAATCAAGAACCCTAAACCCAGTGCCTCTTGACCCATGCATACCTTCCAAGCGTCCCAGAGAGAACAAGGAGCTCCAGAGGTCCTTGGACCTGGTCCTCCGCCGTCTGAGCTCTCAGAGCGTGCGGGGCCCACTTTTGGGAGCAGTATTTTTGCGACGTTCAGATGGCCCTTGGTTGTATGAGCATTGCATTCAACAGGGGGTGGGGAGGATTTTCTCCTCAAGCTTCAGACACAGGGGCGGCAAGAAAGGGTGCTTCAGGTTCTGTAAATTGCTACTTCAACAATTGGATTGAGGACAGCAGACAGTACTTTTCACTACCGGGAGCCACTGCTGTTCCTGCAGTCAGCATGACGAGGCCGGTCAATGGAGAATGCTGGTTACTGTAGATGAAAATACGAGGTTTCTGTACGGGTTTAGGGATTCAGTTGTTCTTATTGGATTATATATACAAATAAATATTATTAATCGTCATTTTCTGTGTTTTTTGACCTTTAGTTTTCCGTCGATGTGTGTGCACTATCGTTGGGACTCGTTGCTTTGTACATGCCATCGTGTCTACTTGAATCGCTTTTGCCATCCCAAACAGCCTGAAACCCAAGCCACCAGCCTCCCGACTCACGATCTCCAACAGCAGGAGCCACATCCGAGCCCTGCTGAGCCTTGCCACCTCTGACCCGGAAAAAACTCTCATCAACCCTGTTAAAACACCCCGTATACAGTTTAAAGCCTCCTCCAGTATCTGCCCCCCCCCCCCCAGCGCATCCGCAAGCCTCTTAGCAGCCTCTTAGCACTTCTCAGCAGTCCCGAGGCGCCTCCTCCCGTGCTTGCCGCGCCCAAGGACCGAAGGGGGTCTCTCTGATGTTCTCCTGCTTCCGGGATTTTCTCTCCATTTCTCCATTTTTCGTCTTGTTTTCAGGCTTTGCTCAGTCTTTTTCTGAAGTAGTGCTCACTGGATTTGGAAGGGGGGGAACCTCGAGTTTCGGGAGTCAAGGCATGTAGGGGGGGCTTTTGTCTGGGCACCCAGGTGATGCAGCCATTCGGCAGCCGTTTGCGGCTAGTATTCAGCCTAACGCACACGCGCCGCACGCTACTGCCCAGAAGCCCTACAAGCACATCCCCCCTCGCCCGCTCCCGCGCACGCAGTGCAATCGAAAGGCATTGGATTCATCTTACTTGGAAGTGGTGCTCGCGCAGGCCGGGGCCAAACGATTTTTTGGGCCTCCGCTGAGATGCCGCGAGCGTTTCATGCTGTGGTTTTTGTTGCAATATAGAAACAAGGCCGAGGTGTTGGTTTGGGGGGCTGGCGCAGCGGTTGCTTCCTCGAAGCCCCGGTGGCAAACTCTCCAGGCCCCCTAAACGGCCCTACACCCTACAGATCCCCCAAACCCTCCAAAAAAAATCGCGCAAACCTCCTTTATGCATAAGAGGCCGAGCAGAAGCTGGCCGACAGGCCCGGGGCTGCGGAGGAGACCAACCAGGCCAGAGATGTTTCGGGGCTGCGGAGCTTAGGCCTCTTTTCAGCAGGTTTGCTTTTGGCTCCTGTTGCGCTCAGTAGAACCCTTGTTCTTTTGTTTACAGTATGTGTCCCACTAAGCAGACACGGACACCTATATTGAGCTATTCAAACTATGTGAATGTCTTGTGGCTTGAGGCGCCAGATTTGCAGGATGTAGCCGCTGTCCGCTGGACAAGCTTTCTCACGACACTTCGAAGTGCCGTGGGGTTGGTTGCACATGTGTCGGCTTCCCAGGCGGCAGGTTTTTCCTGGGTCAATAAATAGGTAAGCAATGACCAAGGATGGGTTTGTGCGGGGGCAATCTCCGCAAGGTTAGAAGACAACTCAGAGCCCAAAGTGCGCCCATTCTCGGTCATATCTGAGAGCACCGCATGAGGTCAGGCTGATTTGCCATGGCAGGGGCAGCATATGTTCAGATACCCTTCATCCCCGGAAGCCCCTCGGAAGCCCTGAATCCTCGACCCGGGCCCTAAGACCCTCAGTCCTCCAGGCCGTCCAGGCCCCGGAGGAGCCCCGGCGCAAGCTGATGTTCTTCAACAAGCTCCGGTAGCGGGCCTCAGCTGACCAGGGCTTCGAAGGTTTGAATGTTTGAAGCATGTTTTTGGGTTGAAGACGTTGTTATTATTGTTTGTTTTTTTGAGTTTTGTTTGTTTTTTTTTTTTGGGCGGGGGGGGGGGGGGGGGGGGGGGGGGGGGGGGGGGGGGGTTCGGGGCACGACCTTGCTGTTTGTAGGCGGCACGCTCGGCTTCCAGCTTCGTTCTTACCTCACAAAAGTGGCTGGTCACTCCGGGATGAGAAAGTTCACGGTGACAGCCTTCCAGAGAAATTCTTCATGTACCTTCGTCAGGACCTGCGAACAAGTTACAATGTCCGAGCTTCAGGCAGTCACAGATCATGCCGGAGCAGAAAAGTGCAAAGCCCGACTCTTCCTGAACAAGAAGCAGCATGTCCATGGTTTAAGGAAACCCCCCCCCCAACAAAAATCGACTCCCAAGCCTTCTAAAGCTTCCCCCCCTGGCCCTCACTCATGTCAATTCAGCATAAGATCCACAAGAGTTCTCGGACAAGCTCCCTGTCGGTTGCGTTTTGGTCCCGGAAGTCATTTGGTTTGATTCTGAGTGTTTTATGTCGTGCTCTATGCCCTGGAGGTTTGGGGCTTGGGAGCTTGAGGGTAGGCCTGTGACATGTCCTCAGGACGACGATCGACACGCGCCAGCTGCACAAGGACCCACCCATTGCAGGAACTTCATGTCCCTGTCTCCTCCTCATCCCAAAACACCCCCAACAGGCAAAAAGTCTGTCTACTTCTGAGTTTGGCACGAGAGCAAGTCGAAAAGGACAGAAACACACGACGTCCAAGAGATGCATTGCAGCTGCATGTGGCTGCTGCACTTGCATGAAGTGGATAACTGGCAAGGATGTGCTGACAAACCTCGAGGATGAGCTTGGTGTCGAGTCGCAGCGGCTCGGTGAGACCAGAATGTGGTAGGTGCCAAGCCCCTAGAACTTTGAAGAACCCGAGATTCCGGAAGCCGGAGAAACTCTAACGCTTAAGCAGGGCTTGAGCACTGGGGCTTGGCGCCGACTGTCCCCGCAGGGCAGAGGTCTTGCCCCGGAGTCGGTCCCTGCACACCCACGCACAAAAGCCAACAGAATTTACACAGAATGTGCGCTGACGTACACCATCCTGGACGGTGTCCACTGCCGGTCACCCTGGAAGCGTCAACTGCAAGCCCGAAGTGCAGACGCCCTAAGATGAGGGCTTTCTAAGAA